ACCAAACACAACATTACAGATAAAAAAATAATTAAAATAAGTATTTCATTTCATTCTTATACACCAAACACAACATTACAGATTCACTCATTTATTCATCGAGGACAACAATATTCATAACAACTATGTCATTCCATAAACAGATTGAACAATTGTAATTTTCCAAAGCAATGAATCTTACGTAAAGACTAATAATACTCTATCGGATCCAATCAATCGAAAAATGGCAATGCCACCTAGGGCTGCAAGTTGGGCTAACCCAACCCAGCCCAGTCTCAACCCAACCTCAACCCGAATAACATGGGTTATAGTCAAAACCCAGCCCGAATATTTTCGGACCGGTCGGGTCGGGTTGACGGGTTGAGTTTTTAAAATTTATTTATATATATTTTTTTCAAAAATATATATATTATATAAATATATATATCTATATATACAGATATATCTATATATTAGAAAAAAACAAATAAAATTTAGGGCAAATCATTTCAGCCTCCCCAATCGTCCAGTCTCATTCTCAACTCTCTCTCTCTCCTCTCTCTCTGCAACTTCAAACTACAAAATCTACAAGAATCAAAAGTTCAAAACCCATATATTTCAGATCTATGTGCAAGAATCAAAAGTTCAAAACCCATATATTTCAGATCATTTCAGATTGTTCAAAAAATCAAAACCCATATGTTTCAGTTTCCATCACCGGCTGTTCCAGTTCGGGTTCGCCGTTCGCAAGTTTCAGCCTCTGTCTCTCAACTCTCAAGCTTGCCCCCCTTTCTCTCTGCAATTACTAACTTGTATGTATGGGTTTTGTTTTAATTGTTGGAAGTGACGGCGGCGGCGGCAGATCGGCTGAGGGACGGCGGCAGAGAGAGAGAGAGAAAGAGAAAGAAAAAAAAAAAATTCGGGCAGAAAGAGAAAGAAGAGAGAAGAGAGAGAAAAAAAATTTCGTGAAAGAGGGGGAAAAGAGAAAGAAGAGAGAGAGAGGAGAGAGGAGAAAAAAAAAAAAAAAAAAAAAAAAAATTGGGTTTTGGGTTGGATTCGGGTTGAGCCCGAGCCTAACCCGAATTGTCTGGGTTTTGATTAAACCCAACCCGAACATAAACCCGATTTATGAATTATGTGTTCAAATTTCAAAATTTTTAGGTTGGGGTTGGGCTGGGCTGGGCTAGCCCGCCCAGCTTGCAGCCCTAATGCCACCTCACTCCTTTATTTATTATGCCTATCTCTATCTCCGTATCTGTCTTCTTTGTTCTTCCTCTTTGTTTCTTCTCTATTTCTATCTCTATCTCTACATCTATATCTATAACTATATAGATATAATCTTTGGATAATATTTTTTTATAGAAGGTTAAACTTCAGACAACACGATTTAATTCTCTCTTTGGGAAAAGAATCAAAATCAAATGGATTTGATTTTTTTTTTTTTTTTTTTTCTTTAAATCTTCGCAAGGTTTAAAGTGAAGATACAGTACAAATGGTAAAACGGTGAAGAGATTGCAAGGAAGAAGATAACTAATTTGATAGTATGATTGAAAAATTTGTGAAAAAAATATACAAAGAAACCCTAGAAATCGAAGGATTGCCTTATATAATTGATTGAAACCGTAATTAATTTACGATTTTATATCTGTATCTCCATCTCTCTTGCCTCTTTATATATGCCTATTTGTCTCCATCTTTATCTATATCTATACCTCTATCTCTAAAAATCTGCTTGAGAGAACAAGAGAACATATATTGATGGTATGATTCAACAATTTGTGAAGAAAAGGTACAAACAAACCTTAAAAATGAAATTAGAAATCCAAATTAATTTAGAATTCAACATTAGACGGAGTGGAAAAAGGTATAAAGAAACCTAATATCCTCCCTTGACTTTGAAAAAAAAAAAGGAAGCATTGCCACATCAGTTTTTCGGCCCTCTTAATTGTACAGAGTATCATTGCTCTATTTCTGTTCCTCTCAAGTCTCAAGGCTTTAAGCGCTCATGCTCACTGAGATCTTGAACCTCTACAAGCCAAACAATTAATTTTGGTATAATATGTGATTACGCGTCATCATTACCTTACTTATGTAATAATTTTATATTTTTAATCAGGAAGCAACAATAAGAACTTTTTTAGATATCTATTGTAAACTCACTCAACACATAATTCTGCTCCTTGGAACACTTGGTTGGATTAATTTGTATTGGTAGCTTGGGATACATCTTTTGTTCTATTTTGGTTCTTTTGCTCCTGAACCACTATTCTATGTACATATTACACTCTTTTATACAAATTGCTTCAATTTCCCGCAAGATTAAAAAATAAAAAATAAAAAAAATAAAACACAGAATTATGCTTAAAGAGGCCACAAGCTTCGTGATGCAGTCTTCAAAACTAAACAAAGACACCATGTGAACTCCGGTTTTAAAAAAAAAAAAAAAAGAAAAAAAGAAAAAGAAAAAAGAAAAAAAGGACACAATACCTTCTATTGTCGAATTGTTCCATTAACATAAAAACTAGGAAATATTTTAGTAATTATCTTAAAGATTTAAGGGCAAGAAGGCAACATTGAGCAAGGCAAACAAACAATAATCATCCTAAAAGTGGACAATTCAAACCGACATATAGCCAAAGTGGAGTGTAGCAGTAAGTCCCAATTGCCTTGCCTCCATCAAGAAAGTCGAGGAGGAGGGAGTGGCCCAACACATGCACACATTCATGATTGACAGCAAAACCCAAGTGGTAGAAATCAATCTTTAGGATAGATGTGGAATATTTTCCTAACATTGAAATGCCCACTCCACTGCTTTCAATGACTACCAAAACCATGATAAGTCATTCCCCTACTAAGCGCTGAGGAGCATATGTAATAACAAAAACCCTAGACCCCACTTCTTTCATCACACCAATTCTTTAGCCATATGCTCCATTAAAATCCCGCCAAGGTAAAAAAAAAAGGAAAAAAAAAAAGGATAATGATAAATATAAAGGGAAAAAAAGGAAATACTGGACAAAGTTAGGAATTATAATCAACTATTCCAGCTGCCACATCTACAATATCCCCAAGGAATTTGATTTCAATATTCACAATTATCCTTTTATAAAAAGGAACTAAAACCAGCTCTCTGTTACATTTCCTAAACCATGCAACACTGCTGATAATGAAGCTAATAAGAAGATGGGGCTCATTCACGTGGGGTTTCAATCAAACTTTCTGTGTATTGTCAATTCAAAGCCCAGTAACAAAACAAAAGTACTCGACATTATGTGGCGCACATGCAATGGGCCTCAAAGTCAGGCAATTGTCATAAACAAGATCCAACTTCACATTGTTTGATCAATTGCCAAGGGAGATGTCAACAGAAAAGTGTATCAATCATTGTTAAAACTCAAAATCTCTCCACTAAAATGATACCTGTTGAGAGCATCTTCATTTTTGTATAAGCTGGTAAAGATCCATGGTGCTCCTGGACAACAAGGAACAGACCCACAAGAAATCAGCCTAAACATGAATTCCCAATCCAGTTGCGACTTGTGAATTCCCCAACTCAGAAATAAGCAGCACAGATGACTCAAAAAGAAACATCGACAAGCCTTAAACAATTCTGAAGACATGTTCCACATTTTTTCAACTGTGCCCATAATTTAAAAAAAAATTTAACTTCAAACATGTCACTGACAATCTTTTAACATTTCTCTAAATAGACGGGAACGTATGACTTTCTTTATCTTGAAAAATAAATAACAAAATTCATGCGACCAACCCTATTCATTTAAGAAAACGGCATGCATTGTAAACTGAATTCAAACTAAATATTTTCACAAAACTTACTGAAAAGTCTAATCATTTTTTTAAACATACAATAAGAGAAAATTTCATTCCAAATAAGTACACTGTACATGGCAGGAAGAGAAGACACAACATGGTCACGTACTTACACAAGCCACATATGACATGTTATTATACCTTTGGCAATTGCAGTCACAGATTATAAATTTAGAAGTTATACTAAATTATCATAGAACACTTGCTGAGCTCATATCCTAACATCAATATGGGACATCACACATTTTCGCCATTCTAATGTTCAATAGACTTAATCAATATGGATGAAGCAGTACGGTTCACTATAATCTCCTGAATTCAACTTAAAGCATTTAGTGCCACCATCTTAAAGTTAAAGACAATATGCATTCGAAAGTATAAGCTAATGGCAGATGATTATGTGCAAATAGGAAGGAATCCAAGAAGAGGGCACCAGGAAGAGAACATTTTTTTTCAAGTAAAAATGTAATAGTAAGATTTTCATTTTTGTTTATCAATCTTGTTTTCTCATCATTTTGTACTCCCACTTCTTTGTTCTTTTTAAACACTGTTAATGTATTTTCTTCTTCTTAAACTAGCATAAATCTTTATAGGTTTTCTTTTTCCTCACCTAAATCCATGAAAAAATACCTTCAGAAAGCATTTGGTTCAGTAAACATGGCTGCCAATAATTTTAAGAGAAATTGTAGCATCCAGGAACGAGAAGCAATAACCAGAATAATAAAAGGCATAAATTCATATTGCATAACAAACATACCAAAGATGTAGACATCCATAGGTTCAACAATCAAAGAACCCTTATCGAGCACTCTTTTAAGGCACGATTACTTAGACACAGAGCATCCACTACAGTTGAAAGCTTGTGGAACTGTTTAGAATTTGAATACATTCATCTGAGGGAAGATAAAAAACAGAACAAAAAAGGCAAGGAATAGTTAACCAAAAGAGCAAACACAGATATGCTTTTGCACTCAAAAGTGCCCATCACACCTACAACAACAGCAATATATAAACCAATACTGGTATTTCTTCACCATTTTATAACCATACACAACTCCATCAGCCCTGTAAACTATATTGAACAATATACATATAATCAAACAAACATATATACAAATATATGCATCATAACTAACAAAATCTAAAACATTACTTCAACTATTCGATTAAGACTTGAGAACCAATAAAAATAAATAAAGAAAGACAAAAGGAAATTCTTGATTCCGTGGTCAAATTCAACTACAATTGAACCTAATAAAAGAACAAACATGAATTGAAAGCAACGGAGGCGTATTTATTACTGTACAAGAACCAGCCGTCCCGCTCCGATGTTGCCATTCCCTTCCCCCCAAACATCTTCTTGATTCCGATTTCCATTATCATCACCATCGGAATCCACAAAATTCCCATTTTTGGGCACCGTCACGACGAGCTCTCCATGGATATACTCGGCGGTGGCGAACTCCGGCAGCGTGGACGCCGGAAGCCGAAACCGCCAGTAATCGATCTCCAATTCATCCATTGACAAATCAAGAACGTTGGTTCCTCTGATCACAATCTTTGTGACCCCGGGATAGATCTCAATTGTGTGGGCCCTGATGTCTTCGCCGATATCGTCGGTGGTAACAACGAATCGGAAGAAATCGGAGGCTTCTTCGACCAAAACGTCGGCGTCTGAGTGGAAAGGAAGCTCGAGGACCTTGGCGAATATGTGAGGGAGTCTTCGGAGCTTCCTTTGCCTGCAAGCGAGTGAACCGATATCGTATAGCAACGTGATGTTCCGATTATTTGGCGCTGGATGAATCTTCATGTCTCGAAGAAGTGACAACGAAAAACCCTAACAAGATCAAATCTGATTGTCGAATAAACGGTTCAATAGATTGGGACTTTCTGCAAACCCTAACCCTAATTGAAGAAAAGAAATGGTGTGTGTATAGTTGTTACTAAGATTTAGAGGGAGAAGTTTTTGATTGAATGGATCAAAAGTATGGACATTAAATTGAGTAGAGAGAGAGGGCAAGGGTGTCAGTGAAGTTCGTTGGTTTGATTGGTTTTGGAGGAGGTAAGAGAAGAGGGAATCGTTGCGATATAAAAGCGTTGGAAATTTTTTTCTGCCCTCAACTTTCTACATAAATTACCATGTCTACCCTTGTCAATTTGGGTTCAATATGCGTTGCGTATTTCACTTGAATTCTTGGCAGCCTTCAACTTTTCATCCCATGCATACCATAAAAAAAGTGATGTAATATATTTTAACTTCTTCTTCTTGTTTTTTTTTTTCTTTTCACTTGATCTTTTATTAAAATAATATTAAAATTTTTTTTGGAGTTTCATGAAACAATCATGAAATGCAAGAGTGATTTATATTTTATTCTTTTTTAAAGAAAAACAAACAGAGAGTATGAGTGCACAAATATAGTGTGTGAATATTACTATTAAGAAAGTAATGGACACTTCATTTAAGGATATCAATAGGCAACATGGCTCAAACACGATTAAAAGTGTAGTGAAATTTAAAACTTTTATAAAAAATTTTTAAACACAATTGAGACACCGCATGAATAAAACAATAATATATTTTAGATACAAGCAAGACACAACGTATAAATTTTCTAATTTTAAAAATTATGATTCAATGTAATTTAAAATATATTATTGTTAGTTAAGTACGAAAATAATATAAAATTTTTAAAAAATAAAAATAATAAACATCTGACTATTTCATAGTATACAAAAATGGTGTGTTATTTTGGTCCGTATTTATTCATGCCAAAAATTTGAGTCTTAATTTCTGAGATTTGTCTAATCTCAAAATCTAGGATGAGAGTTCAAATCTCTAATATAAGAACAAAAAAAATGTGTATGAGTATATTTTTTTGAAGGTAAAATAAATATAATAATCTATTTGATTTGGATAAAAAAAGCATTATTTCACCAAATCAAAGTAGTTTTCTAATTGGATGGCAAAGACGTACAAACTCTGTTTATTGGGAAGTAAGCCAAGTTTGGTTTGCACCAATCTTAAAAACACAAAAGTGGATGTGTATCACTTCTAAAATCATTCTATCACATAATTAAGCAGAAATCTAAAATGATTCATGGAGTCACCCACCGAACAAACAATATTTTTTAAGGTTGGTGTAAAATTAATGGAGTCACCCACTAAACATTATTCATGACATTTAATCTCAAATTCATAAATTGACATTAAATAGATCAATCATGCCAATAAAAAGCATTAAGAGGTAATAAAATGTCATCCCAAGTCTTCAGACATACGCGTGAGTGAGACTTGTTTTGTCTCCAAATCTCGAGGTCAAGTCTACGTAAAATTTTAATTAATAAAAATCAAATTTCATTCGGAACAGAGGAGGAAAATACCTGAATCCTTCAACGTAATTTATGTGATGCGTAGGAAAGCATTCAAAACTAGACTTTCGCTTTCTCATGTTTTTCTTGACGCGGTTTTTTATTGTTACTTGGCCGACGATATCCATGATTATTTTGATTGTTTGTGGGGGACATTGGAGGGGTCGTGTGCATCATCTTGTGTACCAAATTAGGTCGTTTTAGTCCACACATACACGGAGATCAATGTAATTTATGGGTTGGAACCGCAATATCGATCACGGTTGCCATCGTGATCACAAAATCAGTGTAAATTAATCAATACAGATCGCATATCAACCGATACGTCGCATGTCGAACGATACGACGAACCATAGAGCCTGCATTGGTGCTTAGATATATCAATGTAAGTCGTGTGTTGGAGCTGAATGGGTGCTTTGAATTTAAGATTAGAAAATTGAACCTACAATGTATTTGGGCCTTTGAAAAGATGGAATCAAACACATTTGGCAAACGTTCTACTGAACCCTCTATGATGTAAAAACCCATACCATACGGGCCAGATGCCGCTCCTGGAAACTGGGCCTTAACTAACTCTCATTCAAGTTTTCCAAATTCTTTTGCTACCCATTGCCCGTGGTCCATGGGCCTACAAAGCACATTGGACTATATTCCATAAAAGACTCTACACAAATAGGCCTCACTCCGGTCCATATAAATTACCTAGACCCACTGGATGTGTTTTACTCTGAATGTAGCCCTCTTTTTAGTTGAATAAATTGTATTGATTTTGACAGGAAAAGAAAAAAAAATCCGGAACAGGTTTGGAGAAAAATGGTTTCCAATATTTCACTTGGTAGTCATATTAGAACAATTTCAAAATTTATTTATTTCCTGATGAAAACCCATTCATCAAAGTTGTCATATATACGTGTATTGAAATCAATTTTCATGTTATTTAAAAAGTTTTTAGTTTAGTCCACTTGATTTGATTTTTTTTTTTTAACACTCACTTGATTTGATCTAAGTCATCGGATTTTAGTGCATGAATTAAACAATGATTTCATGATGGGACATTACAAGTGACGCTTTGATAGATTTGAACAGGTGAAAGCTGTGTAAAGAACTAAAGATAAATGATATATATATAAGAATTGTGTACATATAGAGTATCTAGCATTTTGATTAAAAAAAGTTAATATTATTTGTTAAATTGTTTTCAGTACACGTAATGGCCTTCCATTTGGAGCAACATGCAACCCCTTTATCAAGATATTATCAAGCAATATCTACATTCTACCTAACATTTTTTTTTTTTTTGCTACAATTTTTTTTTAAAGGGTCTACAATGTGTCTACTTTGCTGCCATGAGAAAAAGTTGTGACATTAACTCATTATATCTTGTCCGATATAAGTATATTTAATATAATAAGAGTAATAAAATATTTGTCAATGCCAACCTTAACTGGTAGTACACAATTACCTTCTTATTACTTACTCTATGACAATAAATAAATAGTAGTTTTTTTTTATAAAATGGATAAATTATTTCACTTATTTTGTTGTACAAACAAAAATGATCTCACTTCTTTTGCCTTGTGAAATCAAGTCATTTGAGATCCTTCCTCGAAAATAATGAAAGAATTTCAAAAAAAAAAAAATTTCTTTTCTCTTTGTTATTTGTTGACCCCTTAATATTTATTAGATACCTCTAAAAAAAGATTACTAATAAAATTAGAAACATAAAAAAAAAAAGACTAAACAGTTAGTAAAAGTAACAATATATATATAGAATGTAACGTTCAATAAATGAAGTAAAATATGACTGTATAAATGTTACACTTCAAAATAAAGAGTTAATCAAAGTAACTGTTTCGGTGATTTAATTCAATTTTACAAGAAGGCAGGAGATAAATGATAATGTCGAAGTAAAATTGTAGGATAAGAAATAATAATAATAATAATGTATTCATGTTATATAGGGAGAAAATTTTATGGTCCTCAAACATCACGTAGATGATAATTAGGAACTGTCAAAATAAAATAACTATCTATGTGCAGTATTGCATTTAAAACAAAAACATGGCAAAAATGCAAAAAAAAATCCCTTCAAATATAAAAAATTAGTATTTTAATCCCCTCAATTACAAAAGTGAGTAAATCAGTACCACAACTATAAAAAACGTATAAATTGCCCCCTACCAGTCACTTTCGGTAACTTTCCGGCCAATTTTCCCTTCAATTTGACTGTTGTAACCCTTTGCTTATAGATATATATATATATATATATATATATATATATATATATATATATATATATATATATATTACAGAGGCTTGGGGTATGCCATATATATATACACGTTGCCGCCACTGCCATGCGAGAATGATATTGCTAGCTCCGAGAATGATTGGCCGCCGATGAGCATAAGTATAATACCCCTAATTTTAAAAGGATAGTCTCGATATTATTTTAAATATTTTAATTGTATTTTTATTTATTTACTTGATTATTTGGTTATTTGATTACGTGTTTAATTGAATTGGTTAATTAAATATTTTATTTGCTTAAATGTTTTATTTGACTTAACTGATTAATTAAAAGTATGTGCTCGAATGCTATTTGAATTAGCTGATTTAATTAATGTATTATTTATTTGTAATTAATTATAGATTAAATAATTAAATATTTCTTTTGTTATAATTTATTTTATGATTATATTTAGTAGTAATGGGCCAACCAATTGGGTTCCATGGACTACTTGGATAAGGGGTTTGATAGGTACGAATAATTACCCATGGGTAATTATATGTGTGTGTGTGTGTGTGTGTGTGTGTGTGTGTATAAAAAAGATAATTTATTAATTAATATTATGGTAACATTAGTATTAATAAATAATCTGATGTATGTTTTTTTTATATATATTTATATAATAAGGATATACATAGATTATATACGTAACATATTTTTAATTACATTTTTAATATTTTAATTTTATTTATTTTCTTTATTAAGTTGACTTGGATTGGGAAAATGATTTGGGTTATTTTGGTTGTCTATAAATATATATATAAGTATAGGGTTATAAAGGGGGCTAGAAATTAAATCATGTAGTATATTTTGGAGGAAAAAAACAGAGAGTTTAGAGAAAGAAAGAAATAAGAGAAAGAGGAAGAAGGAGGTTATGATTTTTATCAAATCCCTAAATGCAAGTTCTTATTCTACACTTCTCCCTTTGATCTGTAAACTATATATCTCTAGTATAATTTTAGGGTTGTTTAAAGAACAATTAAAACTGGAATTTATAATTTAATTGATCTAGAACATAAATTTTATAAATTATGTTCACGGTTGTTTGTGCTGTGTGAATTGATAAATTCATGAGTTATATTTGATTTCTTTGTGGATTTTTATATGTTATAATGATGTAATTTCATACTTGTGTGTTGATGGGACTTGGAAACATGCCTTAGAACCCTTAAACAGTGAAGAACGGATTTACAGTAGGATTTCTGTGTTGAATCGCGTAAACAGTGTTCGATCCGCTGTTACAGTGCTCTAGCCTTGGAAGTAAAGCTCAAGCCATTGACGAAAAGCTCGAGCCTTGAAAGAAAAACTCAAGCTATAGGTGAAAAGCTCAAGCTATTGATGCAAAGCTCGAGCTATTGATAAAAAACTTGAGCCATGGATAAAATGTTAGAGCCATTAGAATAAAAGCTTGAGCCTTA